CCCACCTCCATTATAGCTGTGCTTGTAAAAAATTTATCTATCACTAGAGGTTTGCATTGAAATTCCTCTGTTTCAGGTTGGAGATGGAAGAAGCCAAAAGTAACTCAGCAGATGTTGCCGAATGCTTTAAAAGGTGCATTAAAACTTCCCTAAGGACCTGAGTTAAAAAAAAAAAAAAGGCATGAAAGAACCATGGTTCGTGTTATACAGACACACACAAACACATCCATTAACTGAAATAGCCTTTTAACTGTTACTCATATTGAACAGGCTGAGCAAGTGCACTGTTGGTTGCTGTCTGTATTGACGTATCTGCGCTGTTTTCAGCAATCCTATAAATCTGTTATTGCTGGGAACAGCTGCGGAGCAGACTGATAAGCTGGGAAATGAGCACACACCACTAATGCTGAACTACCAGCTCCAGGCTGCTCCGAGCCGGAGCCCCTACACCTTGGGATATGCACATCATCAGAAAGTATCAAGGTATCAGCAAGACTCAAGCATAAGAGCACTTTCCAAGGAAGCAAAGGATTATTTGGCCTTGTCAGGCTATTGCTGAATTTAAGAGCTTCTGAAAAAAGTAATCTGATCAGGTGTACAATGCTCTGTAGGTGAGCGGGAGGTACCCAGCCCCTGTGGAGCAGGCAGCCAGCCTTACACAGGCATGAGGGCCAGTGCTGGATGGAACATCAGACAGGGCTTGAAGGGAGAGGGTTTGCACCTACAGCGTGGGGACGAGGAAGAGGAAACAGTACACAGGGTGGAGAAAGGTTATCATAATCTGGGAAGGAAGTGAAAAAGCAAGCAGCTTGGCTGGAAAAAGCTGTCCCTGGAAAGAACAGTGGTGTCGTGTGCCATCTGGAGGCTTACAGCAGAAGTAAACAGAGTATATTTCCTTTCTGGAGAGACAGCAATCACCTTTTAGGTAGATTAGGCACAATTTCCAGGTACATGGTTTCAACTTTACCAACCTGAACAGACCAAGACTCCAAATGACAGTCAGAACAGCTGGCTTTACTGAAGTTGTACCTGTGTGATTTAAGGGTGGGGAAAAAATAAAACAAAACCTGAAGAATTTTGCTTTTTTTTAGGGAGCTGATTTAATCTCTGAGGCCGATTGCTCCCGGCAGTGGTGGTCCTGCACTGGGAGGTTCCTTGTCTCAGCTTCTCTTCTGCAGCACAAGTCACCCCAAGAGCACGCAGACAACACCGTGTGGCTGGCACATGCTCCCATGAGAAGATGAGGAGACAATCACACTTTGCTCTTCTCATCTCACTATGCAGTGCTTTCAGAAAACGCAGCAGAGTTACCATGGAGGATCACAAGGTTCTTCATTGTCAGCAGCCCATGAGGATCTGGAGAGCTACTGAGGTCCAGTATCATCCTCCAGGCATGTGATCTTCCTTGGGAGTGATTCAGATGGCAACCACAAATGGAAATGAAGAATTTTAGAAAAAAGGGAGTTAACTGAGGTAATTTCATCTGCATCTACAGTCAGGTCATCTGTAATCAAGAAGACAGCTGTAACACTACAGATATTTCTGCACCCCCTTCTATAATCTCCCCCTGACAACAGAACATCCCCTGAAAGGGATAAAAAAAGTCCTCACTTGTTTTTCTGGAAGTAGATGAGCCCTAGAAGCACTGATCCCTCCCCTAAAGCTACGTCAAGGAGTGGAAATCTTTTGACTGACCTCGGCTGAAGGCATCGTTCCTTTAAGTGCTCCCAAGCTCTTCATTTAGAGAAGCCACCAGCTGCCAGGACACAAGAGCATCAGGCCCTGGTCCTGCCAGGCAAGTGTCAGTGACACATGAACACCCTTGCAGGGAGCCCCTAGTGACCGTACTACCAATGTGACTCAAGTGCCACACAACTGGATTGTCCTTATCCACTCTACAGCCCGTCTAAATGAAGTATTTTGCATATTAATTTTACTCAGAAGGAACTGAAATCTCCAAAAAAGGAAACAAGACAGAAAATGCTCTAGGATGATGCTTTTTAATTGTTATTTTCGTCTTTAAAAACAAATCAAACCATTAAAAACATTATAGACATGTGTTGAAATTTCCTGTACAACAAATATGAAAACAATAAAATTTGTACATCTTTTCAAGATATTCAATCACATCAACTTTTCCCTTCTTAAGCAGGCCCCAAATGGGAAGGAGAGAAGAGCAGAAACACAAGAGATGTAATTGCCACACAGTGGAGCTTTCAGCCTGAACAGTGACAAGGAACAGCAAGAGGAAACACTGACCAAAGGGACAGATCCCAGCAACTGTAACAAAGAGTACACAGGAAGGCAGAAAAAAGTTATTTGCAGGAATTCAAGTCATCGTGACCATGACAGATCCACAAGGTAGCAGAGAATTGCATGTAATTCTCCTTCTGCAGAAATAACTTAAGACATGTCCTATTTGTTCACACCAACACTATGGCCAGCTTCATGTTTACAATGTTTTAAGCCTTAGCAACTTTTTCGACCTCTACCTGGAATCAGCAGGTCATTTACTTCAGTCTCTTCTCATGAGGCAGTTCGGGGAAAACACAGGCATACAGTTGTATTAAAAACAGATACTCATTAGATGATGGCACAAGTGAGAATCTGGCACCTGCTTCCAGCATCAAAGCAATGGGACAGAGAAGTCTGTTTTCAGCAAGACTGGCTGGCAGTGGTTAGGCAGAAGCCCATTTTAGTTTTCTGATGTGCTGCAACAGAACGCAAACACACAATCCAGCACAGAAGATTCATCTCCCTCTTTTGAGCCATACCAAACCAGAGCCTGCTGAAGCAAGAGAGCACTCACCACCCTAAGGCAGCAAGTTCTTGGGAGACCTGGAATAATAAATACTGGCTCAGTGCTCTGCACAGATGTGTGGCAATTAAAGATGAAGAGAGGAAAAAAATGACAGGACTTTAAGGGGCAGGCTTTCCTCCCTCCAGTTCCTTTGGAATGGTTCTGTTTGGTCCAAGTGGTTTATCTTTGTTTGCCATCTGACAGCAGCTTAGGAAGAATGCTGGGTGAGAGACTCGCTATGTGGACTGTCAGTTTGGATGGAGGTGGGCAGGAACATCAACCTTTTTTACATTTTATTTATTTTAAAGTATTTCAGAGAAAGAGAGGAAAAAAACCCATATCCAAGAACACAAGTGGCTGCTACAAAAAAAAAAAAGCTGACGTGCACTGTGGTTTGTCCTCCAGTTTTGCTCACACAGCACACCACAATTTCACACCAGGTTGAACAAAATTCCTCTGGATACCTGTACAGTTACAGTTGTAGGAATTCCTGGTGCACATTTTCCTTCAGCTGACAGTGGATTCTGTGAGGTTGCCAGGTTCCACTGTAACGCCACATATACTCCTAGTATCTGTGGCTTTTTCTGACAACTCTGCTAAAACAAACACACAAAAACAACAACAACAAAAGAACAACCAAAAAAAGCAGCAGAATTCCAGGGACTCTGGTTATTAAACCTTCATAAGATTTTCACCATTTTATAGCTATTCTATAGCATTCATAAACTTCATATTCCTCTGCAATGCAACCAGTGCAATGATCCAAAGACCAAAAAACAACCCCCTCCCCCCCCAAACTACTTAAGAAGTCCTTCATTGGTAATGCCTTCATAAGTTTAACAGTTAGGTACCAGCAATCTAATCCCTGACTTGTAAAATCAGCAACGTGGGGTTTTCTGCTTGTTTGTTTTGTTTCTAAATGGACCAGTTAAGACAACAGCAGCAGTATATTGCAAACAAGTACAAAACAGTTACATTAGATCAATGAGATGCAGGCAGGTGAGATGTGTCTCAGTTTTGAACGGCTAAAACAACTGAGAAATTGGTCTTTACAGCAGAATTTTGTGCAGTTTGTTTTGGTAGAAACAGTAAAGCCAGTCAATCTGGCAGTTTGGGAGTGCTTGGACACTTGGAACCTTAGTTCGACATTTTCACAGATTTATATATTTGAGGATAAACAACAACAATGATAAAAAGACACCAACCTGAGTAAAACTCTATTAGAATAGAGTGATCATTATTCAGTAAATCATATATTGCACCTTTAAATAAATCATTATAAATTGTATAAAAACAGGAATATTGGCCAGGAACAGGGAGGAGCTATTCTGTCCTTCATACGCACCCACACGCACCCCTGCACACACATTCACATATTCACTTGCTCTTTTTTTATTTATTTTTTTTACTATAGTTAAAGCTTGGAGTGACAGACCACACTCCTTTTCCTCTAGCAGAGGCACTGAAACTTAAGGCAGGGGATATTTGTGGTGAAATGCAAAAACAAAGCTCACCTCCGAACTTCTGGAGAGTCCTGCCAACAGTGCAACTACAGTTAAGTTTGACATAAGCCTTATTTAAAAATCTGTGTTCTCATTAAGAGTTTCAGTACAAAAATAGAATCTTTGCTGTTTTTTTCTAGAGTAGCAACTAGAAAAGGCACAATTTCCAAGTATAAATGTCCATTTGAAGGAGCTGTTTGTACTCCTTTTTTTAAATAAAAAGGAACACAGAAAAAATAAATCACAGAGGCACATATCTATTAGCTAGGTAACCAGATACAGTAGATAAAATATGTTCCTGAAACTTATAATTAAATATATTAAAACAGCCCACAAGCCTGGTGTCTGTAAATGAAATCATATAAAATTGTAATAAAAAGCTTGTGTTATTATTTTAATATTTAAATTCTAGTTCACCGTTCATACTGCGAATGCTATTTCACCTATCAGTACTGTTAAATTCCCAAGGAAAAGCAAGATTCCTCTGTTAACTCGAAATAATTTTTCTTGTTTTGTTTTTTAACGTGGATCTGTGGCTCCTGCCAGCACCTTCCTCCTGTAGATCACATCTTTGAATGTGGACAGAACTGCAGAAGCCAGACGCAAGACCCTGCACACAACCCTGAAAGGGATGAGCAGAACGTCTCCCTTTCCTATGCGCAGGTACCACCTCCTGGAGACACGGCGCTCCTTCCAGGCTATGCGTGGTAGCCGTTTGCCTTCCCAAAGCCTGGCCCAGGTGTGAAGTTTTCATAGATTGCCATTGCTGTCATGTTTTGGTAAATAAGATCAGTTTTCTTGTCCTTCTGGGATTTAATAATATCCATAACGCACTGGTTTAGGAAGACATACTGGTCCTGATGGGAGAAAAAGAGAAGGTAATACATCTCTATAAAATACCCGATTCTTGAAGTAATTCTAGTCCTGAATATAGGGTTTGGATGCACTGCACTGAAAGTTATCACAGAGTATTTTTCAAAGTTGTACATATTGTTCATAGAAAACAGGGCTGGAAAGGACCTCATGATGTCATCTGATCAATCCCCTGTAAAAAACTAGGATCAAATTTACCATGCCTAACATCCTCTTAAAAGACTTTCATGGTGGGGATTGTACAACCTTTTCCAGGTCATCTTGAGTTAATCCACACACTGTTTTGGATCAAAGCAATAATTTCACTTTGTGTTCCTGTGTGTTCCTGCAGAACACAAAAGAAAAAAGGTATGCTAAGATCACTTGACTCAAGATTTAATTCTGGCTCACAGCTAAAAGGATAAAACTCGCATGGGTAAAACAAGCTGCAAAAATAACTTTTTCAGGATTCGATTCTTTCCAGCTGCAAAAGCCAGTCCTGAAAAGTCCTCTGTGAAAAGATTGCTGGGATGTACTATGGCCCCTGGCTGCAACTACTGTTGTGGGAAGAGATAAGGCAGGAAGGAGGGAAGTTAAAAAAAGAGCAATTTCAGATTGCTTCTTAATATCTCATCTTCCTGTAATTCTGAGCTACCTCTTGAGTCCACCCTTCCTGGTTTATTACACCCATTTGAAAAACATGATGCCGGATGAAAGACAGCCCTACCTCTGTCTGCACCATTAAAGGTCGGTGCATGCGAAGATCGTACACCACTCCATACACATCCACAGTATTCTCCATTTCGATCTGCTGAATGAGCCGGTCGATGGCAATGAACGTTCCCGTTCTCCCAACGCCAGCACTGCAGTGACACAGGGAAGTTGATTACTGCTTCTCACAGCCACCTGCTCACCAGCAGCCTGGTGAAAAGCCAGTGAAGCTAAGAAGATCCTTTCTGTTATTTCAGTGGCACAGGTATTGCAAGTCTCCAAGGTCCAGAAGGGTGGCTCATACCATCACCAAGAGGGAGGGAAGACAAGCTTCTGGGCTTCCCAGCCTTGCACTTGCACAGAATTACATATAAAAAGCATTTGAGAAGGCAACTTTTTCAGCTAAGTTTTGCAGCCTAGGAGAGATGGTCTGATCTAATGAAATTTGTCTCATGTATTTTGCTACCTGTATAGCGTTACTACATTTCTGAACCATGAGGCAAAGGTTTTAATTCATCAAGGTGAACAGCCAAAGATTTTTTTTTTTAATCACCCTGGAAAAATGATTGTTCTTAAAAAAGCCACAAGATAAAAACGTACCTAACACAAACGTGCTTCCTACCTGCAATGCACCAGAGTTGGAGAGTCGATTGGATTTTGACTACTGTACTCATGAACAAGGTGTCTGAAGTTGATGAGAAGATCTGTTGTCTCTGGCACTCCATGATCAGGCCAGGAGGTGAAATGGAACTGGCGCACCGTGTGGCTCTCTGGTGTGTTGGCCTAGAGGAATACACATTTAAAAAACCCCACCAAAAACAAACAAGAAAACCAGCTGCAGAGGAGCAACAGTAGGGCTTCCTGCTGCATGTACCGGGCAAGGCTCGGCTTCCCTAAAGATGCCTGTTACAAACAGTGCAGTAATTCAGTCGATGATATTTCAGTTTCCCTCCTCCTTCTGCTCTGGTAGAGAATACTTTGAAATGGTTTCTTTTTACTTTTTGCTTTACTCCAAGATCATCTCTGCTGCATGACATTTGCTGACAGAGATGGGGCTAATTGTTCAGTCTAGCAGATATTTCAGGTATCTGCATAAGGAGAAGTTTTGGTGCAAGTCTCAGGGAAACATGATCTGCAGGATCACTGATGGGGCAATCAGTAATGCCCATTCAAGGCTGGATTTTGCCGGCAGATCCCTTTCTGCTGCAGGGAGGGTCTTACTGACAACTCATTCCCACCTCTGGACACATTACTAACACACTGCCGTGGGAAGTCAGGGCATATGAACAAATGCATATACATAAATATCACAGTAATCTCATGGTCAGTAAGTAGCATGGAAGATTTTAAATCAGGTATTTGGCAGAAAGCAGACCAATGCATTCAATGCCTCAAATTAAAATAAGCCACTCATCCTCTTCCCTCACATAACTTTGAATTTGATTAAGTTTTAGTGAAATTATTATATTCTGTCATGCCAGTGTTCCTTGACATGCAAAGTCACAGCGATACGGTATAAATATCCACAGATATTTATACATTAACAACCAAGGGGGTACTCACCTTTTCTACAGTGAAGTCTCTTATTGTCCATTCTGGAAGGACAATCTCTGAGACTGTTGTCACAATAATGTCACCATAGCTCTTGGATTGCTTGTCGGGCCAGTATTGCTCACATTTTGTCTAAGAATTACAAGGTTCAACACATTACACACAGCAATAGACTCTTAGTTTTAAATAACACATCACCTGAAGCAGGGCTAGAAAGCACATCACCCCCCCAATAGGCTATGCCAAGACAAAAGAAACTCTACCAAAATAATTCATCAGGTGGAAGAACCCATGCTTAAAGACATTGATTCCACAACCCTCCCGAGACAATCTGTTCCGGTAGTCAGCAGATACAAAGACAGGAGAAAGCAAAAAAATATTGGCTTAATTTAGGAAACAGTCTTAGTAAGTGGATGTTTTTTAGAAGAAAGTGGTCAGTCTCCAATCTATGACGGTAACAACAAAATCAGAAGAGATCCAATCATCCTCAAGAGACAGTTCAATTTGAATAAAAACATACCCGGGCTTGTTCAACACATTTTGTCAACATAACAATAGAGTAGATGTTCTTTTCCCAAATCATGCGCCAGAAGTCTTCTATTGTATTGGGTAAAGGACCCTGTGCAGCAATAAATGCCTTCCTTGAGTTATAGCCCTAAGAAGAAAAAGCCCAAACTAAATATATATATATACACACACACACATATACGCACAGACACACTTACATCAATGAGACACAAAAAGCCAACTTTAATCATCATGCTGATGAATTATGCCTGCATCATAAAAATACATGTCATATTTCATTTCAACCAATGAAGCAACTTACGGGCATATAGTTTGCATTAATATAATCATCAGTTGCAGAGCTTTGATCTGAAAGTTTAACACGAGAAATATCATCTGCAGAAAGACAAACAAAAAAGAAAATTATGAATTTTAGAACTAGAACTCTTCTGCAAAATACTGCTTACCTAATACATCGTTTTCTAAATAAAAGGTGCTTTAGAACAATGTGCCTTTTAAGAATAAGAATATAACTTTAGGAATGATAAACAGCAGTAGTTTAGAATTTTATAGTGAAAGACCAGAAAAATGAGTGGTCAGAACAAAATTGAGAATGCTCAACAGAGATTATTTTTTTTTTTAAACAAAAATTATTTTGGTTTTGCATATTTTTGTATTTTTAATCACACACGAAATTTACTGTAGTTTTAATTACTGGAGCAAAATAGGTAATTTGTCTCCTGCTGCCATAGCAGCTGACGTTTTTCCTCCAAACAGTATGAGATGTAAAACCTGTAACTCACATGGTAAGACGTTGTTGTATCTATTTTTTCCCCTGTTCTCAGCAAGTTCTGCAGCAAATTTAGGCTGATGAACACCAGCAGACTTGAGTTCCTACAATGAAAGAAGAATTCATGAGCACCTGGTCCTGGTTTAGGAATCATACAGGAACACAGGACTGAAACAGACAAATACTCCAAACTCTCTTGGCCTTTGCTGTAAAATTAAGCACATTAAACTAGCATAAATGATGATTAAAATAATCAGCTTTTTATGGAGTGAGAGGGTGACAGTAGCAAAACTGCTAGAGAAGGGATTCATACAGAATGTAGGAACAGCAGTGTGTTTAAAACCCAGAGATGAGCTTTAAAAACCCAGAAACAGTTTTGCAGAAATACACGACACTGACATCAACTTCACACTTGTTCTGACCCCACGGTAGTGAACTACTTCACATAAGCTTTGCAGACATTACAGAGGGAAAGGGAGCAAATACAGCGTGAAAGGACTGAAGGAAGCAAAATCTGAGCAGAAAGCAAGGCAGACCACCAGCCTGCAAAGCACAATAAACAGGACAGAATTTGATCTGGAAAGAAGAAAGTCAATTAATAGGTACAAGGAGAAAATCAGATTTGTTAACAGCAAACATGACAACACTGAATCCTTACTGACACTTGATTCCTGCCTTTTTGTTCCTTGTAACAATTGAGCTTTAGCACATTTCACAGAAAAACAGTCACTAAGCAATAATAATTGCTGTTTCTCTGACTGCTCCTTTGAGCTATTCACAGGTGTGATTTACAAGTCACACCAATGGATTCAGGAACTCAGTGATATTAGCAAGAGACCTGTCTTGCTTGTGTAGAGAAAAAAAAACAAGATCAAGAAAAACAAAGTGCACAGAAGGTAAATAGCTTTCCCTAGGCTAACTGTAGGCTAACTAGGGCAAGGACTCTGGAGATCCCTGCTCTCCTGAGAGCTCCGAGCAGCAGGCCATGCCATAAGATCACAGGTAGAGACAGTGGTTCAGGATGTGAAGTATTTATCATGCACGTCAACTAAATTTGGAGGTGAATCAGGGAAGGGAAGGCTATGCATGCAGCTTAATAATCTGTATAATAAACGTCCCTTTTCTTCTCCTTCAGTAAGCCTTGTGTATGCTCCACAGGAAAGCTAATTTGAAAAATATTTGTCATGAAGCTCTCTCTACTGAGGGCACATACCTCATACTCTTCAGCAAAACCACAGTTGGAGTCAGCTTGCTGCTTTTTAAAGTAGGACTCAAAATTCTCCACTTTAATCATTTTTGATCTAAAATGAGAAAAGCCATGTATTGGTAACTGGTATTAGGTAAAGAAAGCATGAATTCAGTTAATGTGTTAGAAAGGGTGCTTTACTTACTTCTTGACTCTTCAGGGGAGGGTGGGGAGAGACAAAAAAAAGAGGTTGATTAGACACATGCAGCTGTATTTTTCACTATGTGATTCTAAGAATGAAAGCATGACTGTTAGTAGCAGCCACAAAACTGCATTTACAAGGGACAGGATATCAAGCATAACATTTAACTGATCTGTTAAACCAAGGAAAAAAAAGCATATCCTTCAGGAGAAGAATATCACAGAAAGCGTCAGTCAACCAGTTCTGTACTCCTGTGAGACAGGTCCCATTCCCTGGTGTATTTTATGTCAACTATCAAAGTCTACACAGGTGGGACTGCATGGAAAAACATGGCCTGAGCATCCCATCAGCACAAAAATTGGTGCAAGAACCAATAATGGGATGCAACTGCACTGTCTGTGACTTCCAGTATACTGTGGTTACCCTCCCATGGACAGCTTTTGCAATCTCAACATTATCAGAATTAATGGCTCAGAACAAAGTACTCATAAAAGCAAAGGAACATTCAGGCCTCGGTGCAGAATTTTGCCTATGTGCACTTTATCAACAATTTGAACTGTTTCCTCAATGTGCACAGAAGCCTGTGTTTCATTCAAGCATCCTGTTTTTCAAAACTCTGTGGAACATTTGTATGTCTCATAGCAATTCATGAAGCAAGCACTCAAATCCCTGTGGCAGCTCTGGAAGTCTCAATCAATATGATTATTTTTAGTCTGCAGGCTGGAGTCTAAATTCCATGAGGAATTAATACTGCAAAATTCTGTATCGAACCGCACAGAAAACAAGCGTCAGGGTTCAGAGTAAGTTCTGCAAATATCACTTGAGCTCAGAAAACAATGTGTGAAAGGATATGGACTTACTTAATTGGAGAAAAGGACACGTCAGTATTTCTTTTATCTTTCCTATAAGGCAAAAGAAAACAACACAGTAGGTTCACAGTAGAATTTAATGGAATAAGATTGTAAGACTTCTGAGACAGCCATTTTCTGTGCCTGTTCAGCAAAATGTCTTTTAATACATCTTATTCTGTGCAAAAAAAACCTCCTGAGGGAAACCTTATACCTGAAGTAAGAATAAAATACTTCATTCTTCGTTCAGTGATGCCGTGCAATACGACTGTTTCCTTCTGTTGGAACCAGAGTATAATGCCTGAACACAAAGCATATAGCTTGGTGGAAGAAGTACATCTGAGGGATCTGCGTCACTCACCAACACCTCAGGGGAATTGCTACTACCCCCAGAACCCCTGCGGTAAGTGTTCAGCAGTGACTTGTCAGTGGTACTGGAAGTGGTAGTTGAATGAAATCTTAACTCATTAGTCTGCGACTATGGGGTTGAATAAAAGCAATTTAACTAGTTTGATACACCAACTCTAACCTGTATCACACAAAAAAAGGTTTTTAATAGAATGTATTTTAAAGCACCATAGCCCAAGTGCATAAAACAGAGAGAGACCTATTTATGAGAAAGATAAAAAAGTTCAATACTGGTGTTCCTCATCACAGCAAATACTATAATGAGCACACATTACCTTCTCCTTCTCCAGAATATGAAACCGCCTATAGCGACTACAGCCAGTATAGCTAAAAGGCATCCAATAACAGCTCCAGCAATAACACCTGATAAAAGAGAAGAAGTATTCCTCATTACTCATTTACCTCATTGGTAATGATCTAATTCAACTGACATGCTACAAGAGAACCTTGCAAATGGCAGAGCATGCTCCGCTCTACTAAATATCTTTTCTTTACTGTGTCCTTTTGCAGTACCAGTATGGAAAGCCCTTTAAGAATAATAAACCAAGGACGATAAGTTAATAAAAAACTGGGGTCAAAGGACCAGTATTTGCATTCCAATACACTTGCTTCTAATTTACCAGAACTGTTGGAACATCAGCTGCTTTTTGCTACCTGTTTCAGTACCAAAGTGTCAGTGCACCATTCAGTCTCTTTTAGCATACCATAAGTAGCACAGCTTTGGGTTACTTCCACAGTGGAAGTCATACATGTAAAAATGAAGTCACCTGCAGAACTAGCAATGTATGAATTTAAAGAGCAGTATCACTGCAAAGCTAGAAAGAAACAGTCCAGCACAGAGAAACCAATGGGTTTTGCTATTATGAAACTTGCCATAATTAAGGCACTGCCACACACTGTGTATGCACCAAGCTGCCAGTCCCATATTTGACACTAACTATACCTGGATCCTGGGGTAGCGAAACCTCCTCAGAACAGTGTGTAAACGATACATAACTATCTTCTCCCACAATGATGCTGGCTGTAGTAAAGGCTATATTGGTGAAACCCGCAACACTTGCCCTGTTGATAAAGGAGGAGAAAAAGCCCAGGTACATTACATGGCTTTAACAGCCTTAAGCAAGATTTGTAATCTTTTCAATAGATGATTTCACAGATTTCAACTGCAGCAAAATTAACCAAACAGCACTTTGAGATAAATACCTGTATGAACCAAGTGGAGTCAATGGTCCGTTTTTGTAGCCATACACTGTGTTTCCTTTGCCTACATAAATGATGTTTCTACCATCCTGAGAATGGAAAGAAGGTGATTTTGCCTGCTCAGTATCTATGACATATGTTACATAGGTGGCTGTCGTCTTCTTCTTGAAATCTTCATATGTGTTATTCAATTTAGACTTCAAAGATCCACAACCTTCAGGAAAAAACAAGGATATATTTGGTACACATCATCCACTGATTTTGTATGAATTGACGCAGTGGCTCAGACAGTAATACAGCATATCACATTCAGCACAGTTTTCACTACATAAATACTGCCTGAAACAAAAGGCTGAGTACAACAACCCCAGAAATCTCTTCTACTGCAGTGCTATCTACTGAACTACCTCCCTACTCCCCAACATTATTTGTTTTAATGTCTTTTTAGCTTTACTTCTACCATGTATAGTGGAGCTCCTCTATAAAGGTACACACACACTTTATCAACTACTGTATGTAGAGAGTACAATGCAAACAGCGTAGAAAAAGTCAATTGGTATTTGGTAACATTGTGCTACCCAAACAGCATCAAGCCTCATTCAGGGTGACACTAAATTCATCCTAACCTGTATTTCCTTGCTGTGTTTTACAAGAAGTCTCACACCTAAACCCTAAGAGACAAAAGAGTTAATTTCTGCCTTCTCTTGACAGACAAGCATTGGACAAAACAGGGATCAGAAGAGTTTCTCTTCCAGAAGACTAAGACTGGGCTACCACAGTCAAACAGTGACCAACAGAACACCATCTGCAGAACAGCATCACTTTACAGTGTCTGTTGTTAGAAGATGAACCCTAGAAAAACTTGAGGCAGATTATTCAAATAAACATTCAAATCCATAACTCTGGGGCAGCTGAGTAGGCATGTGAAAATGTTCTGCACTGATGTACTCTCTCTCTCTCTCTCTATACATAATATAGGTATCTATATAATATATATAGATTCCTCTATATAATCTCCGGGCATTTCTTGAACTTATATTGTTTGGAAAACCACAGGAAAAAAGATCTACAGTCAAATTACTGCAAGTTGAATTTCCAGTGTTAAGACAAAGGATAAGCATGAATATCAAATACTCCTTGGGTAAAACTACCTCCCATCAGCTGCTTTATTCCTCCAGTGCGCTGGCAGAAATGAAGTTCAACTAGAACGTATACTGCAAAGGTAAGTTCCTTAATTTTATGATTTATCGCTACACATTCACTAATTAAAGACATTTCTGTGTTCTGATGCTTTAAAGAGGCAAGTTTGATAGATTACCCTCTGTAGCTTTCCCTGGCATTCAACCTGATGGCATGTAATGCTGACAATGCTACTCAAGCCTTCCACCTACATCCCACATCTCTCAGTTAAGCAAGCGTTTTAAGTAAAATCAGAAGGAAAGCTCTCTACTTTTAAAAATTTTATTTAAAAAAAAATTTCTTACTGCACCTATCTTTCAGCTGAGGAAGGGAAGGGGAAAAACATCCCATAATCCAAAGCTGCTTGTATCAGAAGCTCTGAAAATGATTTTTGGGGGGAAAGGGGGGTGGGGGGGGACAGTGAGGGGGAGAATCTTTTGGTAGGAATCACAGGCAAATCAAGATGGCAACAGCACAGTGGCAATGCATCAGATTTGCAATACAAGGATAAATCAGGCTGGAAAAGGCTGGGTGAAAACAGTGGCTTTCTGAAAACAAGGAGTGATCCAACTTCAAGCAAGCAGGGTATTTGCTTCATTATTTTTGAAATTACTGAGTCATCTCCTCCTCTATCCATTTAGCACCTATTTAGAGTTTAAAACATAATACTGTCTGATAAATTGTTTCACACAACTACAATATAACATCTTACCTTGTTCTTCTGTTGTGATCATCACTGCATAGGCTTTTAATGGTCCATTCACTGACTCAAAATCAGAGAATTCAACAGACAACGAGCTGTGGCTGACTGCCTTGACTGTAGGAACTTTGCTTGGAGTAGGTGGGTCTATAAATAGAAATATTTTTTAATACATTAATGACTGGTAGAGTTTTACAAAAAAGAAAACACTGTAATACTGATGCTGTTCATATAATGCATATTTTTTGTGCATCACATTAGGCTTCGCATGGATGTAGTGTTTTATTCATAGCCTGTAGGCTGTTAATGTACTGCATATCAAGTTCAGTATTCTGCAATCATGAAGCTAATATTTGGTCCTAGAAATAGCTTTCATTCTTAAATCTTAATGCTTACCAGTAATGCTCGTATTACACCTTTTGTGCACTGGAGGGCTTTCAACACTATTTGAAAGAGTTACAATAGTAACATTATAGGTACTGAAATAATCTAAAGATGTTATTGTGAAGGTTTCCTCTGAGCCTTCTCTCGTGCAGGATGGAGTCTGTTCTTTCCTTCTCCACGTAGCATTAAATACTTCAATTTCAAAGCCAGAATTGTTACCAGAAGGACATCCCCACTTCAGCATTAGGGAAGACTGCTTGGCCACCGATTCACACTGAAATGAATTCACTGAGGCAGGAACTGAAGGGGAAAAAAATTAAAAAAATAAAATCAAGTATTGTAGTAAATAGAAAAAGCTGTCTGTTTGTTAAGTTCTGTGCATAAATGCTTGTAAAACCTCAGTATTCTTTTCCAGTTTTGAAGGGATGAAGCTCCTCCCATCAAGGACTTACTTTTCCTCATGCGATAGCATTTAGCACACTAAGTGCACAGACCTCTTCTGTGCTAAACTCCTCTGCAGACAGCTTTACTGAGAAAGCTTATGTTGACCGATCAGTTTTCAAAATACTGTTCGACCATTAAACATACTACTTTCTAAACATACCACATTTCTAAAGTGGTGCGTAGACTGACACTAACTGCCTGTATAATTACGTAGAACTCTTAGTGGCCAACAAATAAGAAAACAAACATAAGATCTGTGCATTAAGAGCACAGCAGCAGCCATCCTTAAGAGCAGCAACTACAAGTCAGTTTGTGTAAGAGTCCTACTGGACACAAAATTAAAACTGCAACCTTATAACCAGATACAAACAGATACTTAAAAAGTTTATGTAGCAGTAACACTGAGAAGAAAGGTCCCTCTAAACTAAGCATCTTAGAAAACTTGGCCCTCAAAACCAAAACTCTTCTAACTTCTACAATTGTAAGACACAACAGATTTATTTCACTCTTGATAAAGAAGTATTTGGTGCTGCCAAATACAGGCGTAAAAGGCTCATGGATTAAGTTATTTTGTTATTAAAAATGGGTATTATTTTAAGAAGCTAAGGAGAAGTAGAATTCTGTACCAGAATAAACAGATTTAGTTAAAAGGCAGATGTGAGTGACTGGGACTTATTTCTACTGCATTTTATAAATATTACTTTTCCTTCAGTAACACCATCAGCTACCCCTACAAATATGGTGAAATTATACTTCCAGGGTTTACATCTGCAGTAACACCTCTGGTGACATTGGATGGCTAGTTTGTAGCGGAGGAATCATGACTTTGGATCTCTATCCTGTTGGTGGTGGTACAAGTATCATCTGTGCTCCATGGAAAAAATCATAAACCAGCCCAAATGTGGAAAAAAGAGCTGGGTTCTGTGACAGTCAAGACAAGACTCCATCAGCACTCTCAAATATTTGCTGACAGAGACAAAAAGGCAGAGGCACAGCCATGCTTCCACAGACTTTTGAGCATTACAAGCAGTCAAGCAGCACTTTCACAGTACCAGAGACTCTCTTAGCGGGTTGATCCTGGAGCACCTCTGGAAACCCCACTGAGGAGCTCTGGGACAGATTCATTTCACCTCAGTTAAAACAGGACAAAATTAAAGAAAGGACAAAGCAGCACATATTCATAAGGAGGCGGAAAAATGGCCCAATGCCTAGCACGAGGAACATAGAAGCACCACCACCTTCACCTCTTTGCTGACAGCTGAGCAGAGCAGTGTGGTCAAGAGCCACACAGCATACTGCTGCCCACAGCCCAGCTGCAGCCATGTGCCCCTCCAATGGGGGAAGTTCCCCAGGCACAATGCGCTTTGTAGGAGCCCTTCAAAATAAGGGCCAAGGCCTAATATACCAGGAGGAGAGGGCAACAAAACCTCCCACAGAACCTGCTCCCACACATTAACATCACTGACTGCAGGTAGGCCGTATGCAGCACTTGTGCCTGAAACAATACTGTACTTCAACCCTTGGGCAGGCAGGCAGAGCCCTGAGCTGCAGAGCAAAATGCAACCCACCAGAACAGGGCTGCAAGCAACTCTGACTTACTTGTATACTGGCTTATGGACACCCCTTCTCCTTCCGTCTGACCACCAGCCGCTACTGCAAATACTGTGAAGGTGTACATCGTCCCAGGGATTAACTCAGTAACCTCAATTTTGGCAGCACTGGACGTCAGGTTCCTCACAGAGGCACCACTTACAACCTCTATCCTGTACATGTACAAGTTGGAAGCAGCGTCGCTCACAGCCCATGTTAAGTTGACAGAAGTCGTGCCAACATACTCTGCCTTGAGATCCTGGACTGGGCTGGGCTCTGTGAAAGAAAACAACAATGCGTCAATCTGCAGGAATATCTGCTCACGTATGTGGACAGAAGAAACACAGGCAATACCACCACTTCAGTCTCTTCACATTACTCATTGTTCCGAGTGTAGGAGCACTCCAACAACACCACCAGATGCTCATGGAGTTTTTTGCATCAATGGGAAGATAAGAGAAAAGTGAAAAAGAAAGTCATATTGAGCAAGATTCATCTCCCTTTTACACTCCAAAGCAAAAGCCCGGGTAACCTCATTAGCAAGATTTTGTGTGAGAATTCAGAGATGTGGTCAGGAAACATACAGTTACAGGGGAAGGTGGGGAAAAAAAGATGGTGGTGTATCTGTGCACAGCAAAAGGCAAGGAACATCAAATATCACTGGAAGAGGAACAGAGGTAATGACCCAGGCACCCTGCTCTTTCACCATCCTTCATGTCTTGTGCTCACTCCTGAGCTACCACTATCTAAAGCCCACTTTCCTGTCGCAGCCCAATGGCAGCCACAGACCCCCCAAATCACAAAAGTTCGCTGGGCACAACACACTCTCTCTGCATGGGAGCCCTTAAAAATAGGGGTCTGAGGCCCCCCTCCTCCAAGAAGTGAAGACAGCAAAGCTGTCCATGCAAATCCCAGGGCAGGAAGGCAGATTCTTGGGAAGAGTTGCTTCATTTTTCACAGGCCTTGATGACCACCTTCGAACAACCACTGTTTTTGAAGGGTTTTCTTTTACTTTGTTTTTAAACAGAAGGCTATGTCCCTTCCCACAAACGTCTCTGACTGCAAGCAGACAAAGCACAGCACCTGTGCCTGTAACAATACTGAATTACAACCCTCAGGCAGGTAGACACAGCCCTGAGCTGCAGAGCAAAATGCAACCCACCAGACCGGGGGTAAAAGCAACTCTGACTTACTTGTATACTGGCTTATGGACACCCCTTCTCCTTCCGTCTGACCATCAGCCGCTACTGCAAATACTGTGAAGGTGTACATCGTCCCAGGGATTAACTCAGTAACCTCAATTTTGGCAGCACTGGACGTCAAGTTCCTCACAGAGGCACCACTTACAACCTCTATCCTGTACGTGTACAAGTTGGAAGCAGCGTCGCTCACAGCCCATGTTAAGTTGACAGAAGTCGTGCCAACATACTCTGCCTTGAGATCCTGGACTGGGCTGGGCTCTGTGAAAGACAAAACAACGTATCAGTCTGCAAGAACATCTGCTTGCATACATGGACAGAAGAAACAAGCACACCACTACTTCACTCTCTTCACATCACTGATCATTCAGAGTGCAGGACTCCTCCAAAAAACATCACCAGATGCTCATGGAGTCTTTTGCATCAATGGCTGCATAACAAAAAAATAAGAAAGAGGCATCTGAAGTGCAACTCATCTTCTTTTTATATTCAAAAGCAAGAGCACAGGTCATCATGGTGCCAGCACTCTCAGTGTTTACCCTGTGAGGGCAGCAGGAAGGAGGGAAAAAAAAAAGTTGAGGGGGAAGACAGTGGTGCACCTCTGCAAAAGGTAAGCAACATCAGCTATCACTAGAAGAGGAACAGAGGTGATAACCCAGGCAACCTGTTTCTTCTCTGATCCTCATACCCTGAGCTCACTCCCATGGCAAAGAGACCATTTCCAAAAACCCTCTCTGCAGCACCCTATTCTCTATGCATCCCCAGAACAGGGCAACCGGCCATTAGTCAAGTAGCACAGGAAAGGCCTTGGGAATTGACTGGAGCACATATGCAGGTGCATATTTCAGGACAACGCAAGTGACAAGAACAGGCATCTGTTTCCTTTCAAATACACTCTGTGGAATAACCAGGCTGCAGCCTTGGAGGCCAGCTCCAGAACTGTCCCTCCAACACCACATGTCAAGACTTCTGATACACAGCACAGTAAGGTGCTGGATGACCAAAGCAGTTCTACACTAGCATTGCCCAAATCTCACTCTCCTGCTGCAGCCTGATGGCACATATGGGCCTCCAAATCACAAGAAGTTCCCCTGGTGCAATATGCTCTGTGTGAGAGCCTTTTAAAGTAAGGGTCTGATGTCCCCATACTGTAGGAAATGAAACCAACCCCCTGTCCTAAACTTAGGAGATAAAGGTTCCCAGGGAAAAAAATCTCTTCTCTGTATTGTCAGCCCTGGGGACAAGCTGCACCAAAAGCTTTCCATCAGGGCAATGCTGCTTCTGCACTTTAACATCCTATGTTTGGCAGATTAGCCATCTCAGCTCCAGGACCAAAACATGACATCTGCCTGCAACAGGACTAAATTACAACCCTCAGGCAGGCATGCAGAGCTCTGAGCTGCCCAGCAGAGCAGGGCTGCAAGCAACTCTGACTTACTTGTATACTGGCTTATGGACACCCCTTCTCCTTCCGTCTGACCACCAGCCACTACTGCAAATACTGTGAAGGTGTACATCGTCCCAGGGATTAACTCAGTAACCTCAATTTTGGCAGCACTGGACGTCAGGTTCCTCACAGAGGCACCACTTACAACCTCTATCCTGTACGTGTACAAGTTGGAAGCAGCGTCGCTCACAGCCCACGTTAAGTTGACAGAAGTCGTATCAACATATTCTGCCTTGAGGTTCTGGACAGGGCTGGGCTCTGTGAACGGCAAGACAACAATCTGTCAAAACAGAGAAATAAAGAAGGAAGAGCCATGGCCACATTTCCCTGCTCCACATAGAATGAGCAGCACTTGTAGCCAAGCAGCCCTTCGACAGTATCAATGCCCAGTTTCAGACATTCATCCTAGGCAAAGGCTCCAGGAGTTCTGGCGATATTCTCTTTATTTCATTTCACATTCTAAAACTATTTGTATCCACAGTGAGCTTCCAGGCAGAGAGAAAGATGGAAATCGGGGAAGGAAGGAGGGTGCAGGGTGATCTTGCTCTGTTAACTCAAGACTGTGCCCACGAGTCTTAATCTGAGCCCTTCAGCCCAGCCTTTCCCCAGCATCAGCAGAAGGAAATGGGCTCCTTGAGCAAGCCCAACAGCTGACCCACCCTGGAGGGCTGTCTGCAAGCCCAATTCAGCATCAATACTAGGCAGACAAGATTCACCTTAGACAGCTTTAACAAGCTCATCTACTCAGTAGCACCTCCTGGACACACTGCTTTTAATTGCTTTTTAGGGATGTTGCCTGTTCCCTTACCACTCCTGAGCTAGACAAAAGAAAGGAAAAAAAATTTTAAAAAAAATTAAAAACAAATTTAAAAAGACCTTCCCGTCTAAAGCTGACAAAAATGGTACCTCATGCAACAGTGTGGCCCTTGACACTGTCACAGCGCCCAGGAGTTCTAGGCCAGGGACTCTGCAAAAAATTCAAAACAATCTTCAAGAACAAAAAGCCTCTGTGATTCTGACCACCACATCCCTGCACACCACATCCTCTGGGACAAGCTGTGATAACCTGCTCCCAGAAGCACTGTAAGGGGCTCATTAAACACGGAAGTCTAGAGAAAGTTGTGCTGTTGTAGCAGTTGGATCTCTACATGTACTTGAGCAGCCAAGCTGATTGAAACAATGGGTTTACAGGCAAAGCCTATGCACAGACACATAAAATCACAATCTTTCCCTTTTACCAAAGACCGCTTGGCACTCATGCTCTGAAGCACCTGGAACAAAGCAACATTACAATGAGAAATAGTACAAAGTTGGAAACCCAAGGTAAAAAAGCAGGGCAATTTGGTATAAACTGTAGGTTAACTTGCAATTGAGAAGCACTATTTCCTTACTTGTATACTGGCTTATGGACACCCCTTCTCCTTCCGTCTGACCATCAGCCACTACTGCAAATACTGTAAAGGTGTACATCGTCCCAGGGATTAACTCAGTAACCTCAATTTTGGCAGCACTGGACGTCAGGTTCCTCACAGAGGCACCACTTACAACCTCTATCCTGTACGTGTAGGAGTTGGAAGCAGCATCGCTCACTGTCCACATTAAGTTGACAGAAGTCACGCCAACATACTCTGCCTTGAGATCCTGGACTGGGCTGGGCTCTGTGAAAGACGAAACAACAATGTGTCAATCTGCAAGAACACCTTGGACATCTGCTCACATACATGAACAGAAAAAACACAAGCACACTACTACTTCACTCTCTTCATATCACTGATCATTCAGAGTGCAGGAGGACCCCAAGCATCACCAGATGCTCCTGGACACTTTTGTATCAAGGGGCAGCCAAGGAAAAACTGAAAAGAAGTCATTCTGAGTGGGATTCATCTCCCTTTGACACTCCAAAGCAGAAGCACAGGATACCACTGTTCCAGCACTCACAGAGCTTGCCTTGGGAATCTAGAGAGGTGGACAAGGAAAGCAGTGTATTTGGTGGAGAAGAAAGAGCTTTTTATTTCGGTCAGCTGGTTTTTATTTTTATTGGTGCAGGAGATTTTTTGTTTCAGGATGGGGGGAAAGGAATTGGAGGAGGTTGTGTTTAGAAAAACACAAACCCACCATCAAAAACTGGGCCATGTTTCTTCTACACATTAACATCCCATTCTTAGTAGATAGCCCAGGTAAGGCTTGTATTTTATTTCAACCCTTGGGCAGGTAGACACAGCCCTGAGCTGCAGAGCAAAATGCAACCCACCAGAACAGGGCTGCAAGCAACTCTGACTTACTTGTATACTGGCTTATGGACACCCCTTCTCCTTCTGTCTGACCATCAGCCGCTACTGCAAATACTGTGAAGGTGTACATCGTCCCAGGGATTAACTCAGTAACCTCAATTTTGGCAGCACTGGACGTCAGGTTCCTCACAGAGGCACCACTTACAACCTCTATCCTGTACGTGTACAAGTTGGAAGCAGCGTCGCTCACAGTCCACATTAGGTTGACAGAAGTCGTGCCAACATACTCTGCCTTGAGATCCTGGACTGGGCTGGGCTCTGTGAAAGACAAAACAACAATGTGTCAATCTGCAGGAATATCTGCTCACATACATGGACAGAAGAAACACAAGCACACCACTACTTCACTCTCTTCACATCACTGATCGTTCAGAGTGCAGGACTCCTCCAAAAACATCACCAGATGCTCATGGAGTCTTTTGTATCAATGGGCAGCTAAGAGAAAACTGGAAAAAAAGTTATCTTAAGTGGGATTCATCTCCCTTTTACACTTCAAAGTAGAACTGCAGGCCATCAGTCTGACAGCTCTCCCAGGGCTTCCCTTTATAATCTCTAGATTATATTATATTATGCATGCCATCATTTCAGTTGGAAGGGACCTATAACATTCATCTAGTCCAACTGCCTGATCACTTCAGTGCTGACCAAAAGTTAAAGCATATCACTGAGGGCATTGTTCAAATGCGTCTTAAACACTGACAGTCCTGCGGCATCAACCGCCTCTCTAGGTAAAGCAAAGCTTCCTAAGGTCCAGTCTAAACCATTTTCACAGGTGCTATCACAGGATACCAGGGAGAAGATATCAGCATCTCCCTCTCCATGTCTCTTTCTCAGGAAGCTGTAGACAACAATGAGGTCTCTCCTCAGCCTCATCTCCAAAATAGACATACCCAGAGTCCTCAGCCGCTCCTCATGAGACATTCCTTCCAGCCCTTCCACCAGCTTTGTTGCCCTCCTCTGGATGCACTCAAGCTCCTTCACATCCTTTAAAATTGCGGGACCCAGAAGTGCACACAGCACTCAGAGGCCGCACCAATGCTAAATACAGCAGGATAATCATCTCTCTTGGCCAGCTGGTTATGCTGTGTTTGATGCACTCCAGAATGTGATTTGCCCTCTTGGCTGGCAGGGTACACTGCTAACTCATAATGAGCCTCCTGTCAATCAGCACCCCCAGATCTCTTACTGCAGGGCTGCTCTCCAGCCACTCCTATCCCAGCTTATACTTGTGCCTGGCATTACACTGCCTCAGGTGCAGAATCTGGCATTTGGACTCACTAAATTTGATCCCCATTAATCACTGCCCAATGCTCCAATCTATCTAGATCCCTCTGCAAGGCCTCTTGACACTTGAGAGTCAACAGCACCTCTGAGTTTGGTATTACCAGCAAACATGCTAATGGTGCATTCAACTCCTGCAAATATATCATTGGTAAATATATTGAACAGAACTGGCTCTAGAACTTAACCCTGAGAAACACTGTTGGTGACTGGTTGCCAGCCAGATGTAGCCTCATTCACTAGAACTCCTTGAGCTCTGCTCTTCAGCCAGTTCTTCACCCGGAGCACCATAAACCTGCTCATCCCACAGTTGGGCAGCTTGTCCAGAAGGATGCTGTGAGGGACAGTGTCAAAAGCCCTACTAAAATCCAGAAAAACTACATCCACCACCTTTCCTTCATCAACTAGGGAGGTGACCTTATCATGGAAAGACACAAAATGAGTTAAACAGGACTCTCCCTCTGTGAACCCACGTTGACTGTGCCTGATGATTACATTCCTCTTTAAATGCCTTCCAATAATACCCAGTATGATCTTTTCCATATTTTTTCCAGAAAGTGAGGTTAGACTGACAGGTCTGCAGTTCCCTGGGTTTTCCTCTTACGCTCTTCTTGTGAACCAGAATAACACTGGCTAGCTTCCAGTCAGCACGGACCTCTCCAGACTCCCAAGACCTTTGGTAGATGATCAAGAGGGGTCCTGCCATAGCATCCACTAGCTCCTTCAGTACTCTGGGAAGAATCCCATCAGGCCCCATGGACTTGTGAACATTCAGCTGGTCCCTCACAATTTCAGAGTTTATAAATGTAAAGTTACTGCTCCTGCACTTGTGGTCCTCTGATTCAGGGGACCTGCCAGTTCAAGGTCTTTCTGTATTATTAAAGACTGAGGCAAAAAAGCACAATGAATGCCTCTACTTTTTCTTCATCTCCATTAGTTAGGTGACCATCTTCAACAAGCATCAGTCCCATGTTTTCTTTAGACCTCCTCTTGCTATTAATATAACATTTTTCTTGTCCAATGCAACATTGGCCAGCTTCAATTCTAACTGAGCTTTGGCCTGTTGTGTCTTCTCCCTGCATATACAAACCACAGCTCTGCAATCTTCCTGCAAAGCCGGACTTTGCTTTCAGAGCATACATTTTCTTTTTCCTCTTGAGCTCCACAAGGAGTTCCCTGTTCAACCAAGCTTGTCTTCTGTCCTGCTTGCTTGACTTTCGACACAGTGGAACTGCCTGCTCCTGTGCTTCAAAAAAGAGGTTCTGAAAAACTGACCAGTGCTTGTGCACATTTAAGTCCTCTAAAGCAAATTACCAAGGAACTCTGCTAAGTGGCTCCCTGAATAGCCTAAAAAGTTTGCTCTCTTGAGGTCCAGGGTAGCAAGTCTGCTGTCTTTTTTTCTTATTACATTGGAAATTTTAAACTCAACAGTTTCATGATCACTGTGGCTGAGACAGCCACATCTCCCACAGGTGCTTTTCTGTTCACAAGCATAAAGTCTAGGACATCTTTCCTAGCTGTCTTACCGAGTACTTGTGACAAGAATTTATCTTCCATATGGGGAGATGAGGATGGAGGGGAACGAAGGTGTATTTTATTTGGTTAACATCCCACGCTTAAGAGACAGGCAGGATTAGGCTCCATCACATCTATACACAATAAGTTTGTATTTCAGCCCTCAGGCAGGCAGGCAGAGCTCTGAGCTGCCCAGCAGAGCAGGGCTGCAAGCAACTCTGACTTACTTGTATACTGGCTTATGGACACCCCTTCTCCTTCCGTCTGACCATCAGCCGCTACTGCAAATACTGTGAAGGTGTACATCGTCCCAGGGATTAACTCAGTAACCTCAATTTTGGCAGCACTGGACGTCAGGTTCCTCACAGAGGCACCACTTACAACCTCTATCCTGTACGTGTACAAGTTGGAAGCAGCATCGCTCACTGTCCACATTAAGTTGACAGAAGTCACACCAACATACTCTGCCTTGAGATCCTGGACTGGGCTGGGCTCTGTGCAAGACAAAACAACAATGTGTCAATCTGCAAGAACACCTTGGACATCTGCTCACATACACGGACAGAGGAAACACAGGCACACCACTACTTCACATTACTCATTGTTCAGAGTGCAGGGGCACTCCAGCAACATCACCAGATGCTCCTGGATGCTCTGGCATCAACGGCCAGCTAGGAGAGAACTGAAGAGAAGCCGTTCTGAGGGGGATTCATCTCCCTCAGACACTCCAAAGCAAAAGCGCAGGTCACCACTGTGCCAGTGATCCCACGGCTACTCTTGGGAATCTAGAGAGGCGGGCAGGAAAGAGATAAGGATGGAGGGGAATGTTTGTTTAAAACCAAAACAAAACATCATGGCTATGGTTCTGCTGCACACTAACATCCCATTATTTGCATATAGCCCAGATCAGGCTCCAGGACTAAAATATAATGTCTATACACAGTAGTACTGAATTACTATACCCTCATAGGTAGGTAGGGCTCTGAGCTGCATAACAAAATATTCCACCAGAACAGGGCTGCAAGCAACTGTAACTTACTTGTATACAGGCTTATGACTTGTCCTCCTTCTGTTTCACTGTCATTCATTACTGCAAATACTGTGAAGGTGTACATCGTCCCAGGGATTAACTCAGTAACCTCAATTTTGGCAGCACTGGATGTCAGGTTCCTCACAGAGGCACCACTTACAACCTCTATCCTGTACGTGTATGAGTCGGAAGCAGTATCACTCACAGCCCATGTTAAGAAGACAGAAGTCATGCCAACATACTCTGCCTTGAGATCAACAACTGAGATGAGCTCTGTGAAAGATAAGGAAATAAATAAATCCTTTAACCTGCAAGAATATTTGCTGATCAACACATAAAGCACTCTTCTCTCCACCTTACCCAAACAACAGGTCTCTGTTAAACAGTAACCAGCCTGGGAAAATAATTAGCCCATCTTTATATGTTGCAAGGCACACTTGCTAGCTTTGCAATCTAGTCTTCCTCTAACTCCTCAAGTTTCACTTTATCTCAAGGACTAAAACTGTCTAGGTGCAGCAGTGATTACTACCCTGTCTCAGCTGTCGACTTCATGCAGGTTGCTGAGAAAGACTGGAACACAAAACCTACTGGGTTTTGGTTTTTTTTCCCAGGCTGGCTATCAAAAAGAGCAGAGCCTTTCTAGCGGCAAGATTCAAACAGCTCTCCTCGAGATACACAACACAGCACCCTCCATGCTAGGTAGCGCCCTTCAGTTGTAGTCTAATGCATTTCAAATCTACATGTCACAGTATGTTTGAACTGTTGCAGCTGTAACCTAAAAAACCATAATAAGAAGGGAACTCAAGTTTAACAGCAATAGAACTATTTCAAGGCCACATGACAATCACAGTAATAAACTGCGCTCCCAGTCAGCTGTACAGATACATTTCTTTGGCTCATTCTCTATTCCAGTAAAGCAGTTGCATCCACGCCCCTGCAATGCTCTTTGTGCTTCGGACTAGAGGTTGGGTTTAAAACACTTATGCAGTAAAAAAAAAAGCACAAAACACCCTGAAGATACACATCCCAGTCACATTCCAAACCACTTACGTGTTACATTGTTCCTCGCGGTTATTTCTCTATCAGATAGTGACACATCCCTGGACCATCTTCCACCTCCGTCGGTTTTGTTCCCACTTGTAGAGTTTACTGATAAATTATCATTGCTACTGGTTCCCGTTCCTGCAGTTATATTTTTTAAGTTGCAATCCTCAGTGCCTGAAAGAAAGGATACAAGGCAATACATAGCTTTGCAAAACTTCTGCGTTTCCCATTTGCAAAAGTACAGTCATTTACAGACACAGTGTACAGACCCGCAGTCACTCCTGTTTTCCCAGTTTGTTCTCCTACAGAGATTCCACTGCACATTTACCACTTGTAACTTCTGTCAGATGATTTCAATTAGATTAAGAGACTACCATATTATTTTGGTCACTCACTGACTCTGTGCATAGTTTGGATGAAAGCTACCATGACCTGCTGGTTTTTTTCAGTGCCGTTTTATTTGAAAAGAATTGAACAAATTTGCAGCCACATTCTAGGTGCGTACCTTCCTCCTGTATTATCAGAGATCACCTGCTTTACTTAACCTGGCAGAGCAACTTTGTCTCTTCCCCTCAGTGTACGAGCAAAAAAGTTCTCGTAATCCCACAAGTAATGAAGAGACACGGTACATCTACAGAAAACAACTTTACATTGATTGTAGAACAGTCCAAAGTGTGGAGAGAGTTGATTCAGGCCCTAAAATTTAAATGCTAACACGTGCAAGTCCAATGATCAATATTCAGTATTCAATATTAAGGTAGAACTCATCTGCAAGTACTTTCGGAAAAGTCTGCCACACGAATACTTGCCATCTTGGCAAGTACAGCAAATGCTAGACTCACTTCAGAAAGTCCTTAAAGCATCACTTTGGGTGTCTTTCTTTCTTTGCTTTGCAATTTGGTTTGTATTGCTTTTAAGTCTATTTTCTTATCTTTCTAAGAATATTCAATCTGTACTTGATTTTACCAGAACTCCCCACAAACTGAAAAGCAAAGGGATTAAAGTACATATTTGTATCTTTAAATATCCTTAAATGCATTGCAGAAATTACAGCCACTAAAATAGACAAGTTTACATTTTTTAATGATAATTCTAAAAATTCTTTTCAGGAAGTTTTTTTAAAATACTTCACTGGTACTGTTTGATCTTTCTTAAAAGAAATTAAGATAATGAGAGTTACATACAAAGGAAAATATAATTGAGTAAGAGAATGATACTTACAGACAATTGTACAACTGACCTGGAAAACAAAAATAAATATCAGAAATTAAAACTTTGAAACTACTGGAAGGTCAAATAAAATAAGGACTGGTTTAATTAACACAGAGGGAGAAAAAGATAAAACAGTTTCATAAATAAATAAATAAATAACTACTGTTGCACTTCAGACTTTTCCATCTGCAAGAGACACTTAAAAACCTAGTGACATAAAAATAACACCAGAAGTATATACCAAACAGGAAGGGGGGGGGGGAAGCAAACATACTGGTAAAATGTTGGTTTCCTTTTTTTAAAACATGAAAACAAAAAACCAAACCAAACCAAAAACCACAACCCAAACCCCGGTTCATTTTGTCACAGAAACAGTCAGCATAACATATGTTGATTATCTTGCACGTGTAAGCGGTGGATTTGGCAGCGTCACGTTAATGGTTGGACTTGATGACCTTAAAGGTCTTTGCCAACCTAAATGATTATTCTATATAAATTTAAAAGCAAAACCTACAAGATCTTAGTCAAAAGACACTGTAGTACCTTCGACGCTATCCCACAAAAAGCGGCAGATGTGGATTAGGTTTTCTATTCATGTTTTTCTCCCTTTCATCCTATTGCTGCATAAACTTTATTATTACTTCTCACAAAAGAATGTTTTGCATTTTCTGAAACAAACTCAGTTTAGTCAGAGGTCAAAAAATTTAGCATACATTCTGAAATCTAGTTTGTATGTGTATGGATCCATAAAGTATCATCAGTTGCCATTTAACTGCAACCTGAAACTACCCTGCTATAATACTGACAAGCACTACAGAATTTCTCTCTAAAAATGTTTCTAGTCTTTCAACTTCATGCTTTTACTTTCAAGTAAGTCCTTTCCTTCCTGTTAGTGTGCAAACTGGTCTGCGACCTGTTCTCTTCATCTCCCTCCAGGTGGCAGCACAAAGTGCTTCTAAAGGAGTGAACTAAAAGCCCCAGACTGAGGTCTGCAGGTGCTTGACGGGAAAACTGATTTTCTGAGCCTCAAGACTCTCACAGCTGATGCCCACAGCCCGCAGCGGCCACTTTTGTCATATAACAAACAGAGTACTTCAGCAACTGTATCAGGGATTAAACACAACCGTTCACCTTGCAAACCTACATGCGGCAAAACCAAGCATGCAGAGATACACATCTCGTGGACAGGCAAGTCCCCAGCATCGTGCTGGACATCCACAGGTCACAGTGCCTTGTGCCAGGGAGGCCTGCAGCCACGGCAAGTTTCTGTCCATACACCTCTGGATCTGTTTTTGGCATCACAGTGGGTGCAGGAGGAGGCAGTCTCAGGTCTGGCTGCTCTAATATCACCTGCAGAAGGGCTACTCCTTTGGTTGGACCTTATATTGTGCTACTCCTAGAAAATCCAGCTCAGTTTTTGTCATGGTTTAAGTCCAGTACCACAAGGCTGCTCGCTTATTTCTCTCCCCCCTTCTCCTTCTCACAGTAGGATGAGGAAAAAATATCACAAAGGGCTCGTGGGTTGAGACAAAGGACAGGGAGGGTT